GTTTAGAGTATTTTTGGTTTTGGTTACCCTACCTGACTTAGAGCGAGGCAAGTAAATCAGCGCCTAGCCACCCCTACTCGAATCTACCCTACCCTACCCTACCCTACCCTACCCTACCCTGCCCTACCCTTTGGGTGGGGTGGGGTGGGCTGGGCTGGGGTGGGGTGGGCTTGGGTGTGGTGGGGTGGGCTGGGGTGGGGAGACTGGGCGAGAACAATAAGAAATTTTTATAGTTAAAAGCTGTCAGTAAATAATAAACGTCTCCCCGGCCAGGCTTTGCCAGGCCACACTCTTCAAGCTAATATTCCCTACTACGGGTTCAGAGGAATGAGCGAACCTTTGCGTACACTAGTTAAAAATAAATAAAAGAAGCCAATAAAAAAATAAGATAAAAAATAAAATTTTACTGCTTCGCTACCTTGCTCGCCCTACCTGTCATTACCTTCGCGTAACGGTTGCCTACCCACCCTTGGCCTAGCTAGTCATCCCCTACCCACTCCTAGCTAGCCCTCGCTACCGCCTCTGCTACCTTACCCTTTAGGCCGCTGCGCCGGCTGCGCCAGAGAGATTCCATGGACTCTTAAGGGGCGAAGGTGGAGGGCTAGCGGTGCAGAGAGAGCATGCTATGCCCAGACTTTGCCTAGCCAAAGGCTAGGGTGGGGGAGATATTACAAAGGCTAGGACGAGGCGAGGAAAGCATTAGAATCTGTGGACTCTTAAGGGGTGAAAGTATCAAGGGTACTGCTACGCAATATACATACGTTGTAGCTAAGGTGGGAGTAGTAGTTTAATTTCATTAATTCGTGAGTTGTAGTTTAATTTAGGCAAAACGTCATTTTTTGGAGGTGAACAATAGCAGTTCGAATCTGTTTAACTCAGTAAAAAAAACATAAAATCAAAGTTCGTGTTCTAATTATACTTATCGGCTTTGCCGGGGCCTTTGCGGCTTCGCCTGCCCAGAGGGCGCACCGCTCATCAAAACACCCAACACTTTGGTTATAAAAGAAATAGTTCTTATTCTAACCTTCTCGCCGATTATTATTACCTCCGCCCACCCCTGCCTCCCACTCCCCACGCTACCGCAGCCCCCCCTGCCCAGCCCACCCTTTGCCTTGGGCTAGGGAGGGTGCTGCTTCGCCGCCCTCCCGGCTATGCCCTCCCGAATGGCTGAGGTGGGCAGGGGGAGGCGAGAGAGCAGGCTTTGCCCAGACTTTGCCTAGCATCCCTCGCGCCTAGCTCTACCCTTAGGCTGCTGTGCCTTCGGCCTTGCAAGAGCTGCTTCTGCCTACGCCTGCCTACGCCTGCCTACGCCTGCCTACGCCTGCCTAGCCGATAGGCAGGCTAGGCAGGCTAGGCAGGCTAGGCCGGCTAGGCAGGCGCGGCTTTGCCGGGAAGGCGGAAGAGGCAAAGCCCTCCCCCCCCCCGGCTATGCCTGCCTCCGCCGATAGGCAGCGAAGCAGCCGCCCCGCCATGGCGGGGCGAGGCGGTAGGCGTAGCAAGGGCTAGCGGTGGGTAGGTTAGGGCTGGGCTGGCGTGGTTAGGCGAGCGTATTAATTATAACATAAATTAATGGTGGTTAATGTTTTTTTGTTATTCGGCTAAATAACAATTTTATTTTGAAAATAACTGGATTCGAACCAGCAGCTTTCCGCTTAAAAGGTGGACACTCTATCCTAATTGAGTTATACTTTCTACTTAAAATTATTAAACTTTTTTTAGACACTTTAAGTCCTCTTTTAGAGGAGATATTTAGCAAATATATCACAACCCTAGTTATAAAAAAAATACAGTTATGTTTCAGTTAAACATCTAATTTTCGGCTACTGCTGTGTTACCACCCCTAGCTAGCCATAGCCACCCCACCGCACCGCTGCCGCCGCCCCCTGCCCACCCCTAGCTATCGCTTTTGCCTCGCCTCGCCTCCCCACCCTCGCGCCTCGCCTTGGCGGCTGCTTCGCTCGCCTCGCCTCCGCCGATTGGCAGGCAAAGCAGCAGGGCGGGGCGGCTGCTTCGCAAGGGAGGCTATGCCTGCCTCGCCTACGGCGATCGGCAGGCAAAGCAGCATGGCGGGGCGGTAGGCTAGCGGTGGGTAGGCGAGGCGGGGAATCTCTCTCGCCTTGGCGGTAGCGAGCAATGGAGGCTGCTACTGACCATTTCTCCTTCCTAGCCTAGGGCTGCCGCTTCGCTGATTCGCTGCTTCGCTGGAATGGGTTTTTTTTAACACACTGCCCTCCCCTACCCAAGGGTCGGGAAGGGGAGGGGAGGGGAGGGTATGTTAGGTAAATATCATACAGTATCTATTCCTGCCTTTAGGCGGAGTGGTGAAATTGGAGCAGCGAAGCAGCAAAGATGAATTGGATGGACTACTGCTTCGCTCTCGCCCTCTCTCCCTAGCCTACCCTCCTCCCCACCCAAAGGATAGGGCTAAGGCTGGGCTGGCAAGGGGTGGGCAGGCGGTAGTGGGAGGGAGGCTGCTGTGCCTGCCTGCCTGCCTGCCTGCCTGCCTGCCTGCCTGCCAGCCTATCGGCGCGGCGCGGCGCGGCGCGGGGCGGCGCGGCGCGGGGCGGCGCGGCCAGGGTTTGCCCAGCCTCCCTTGCTAAAGCTAGGGGTGGCTACAATAGGGTGGTATGCTCTTTTTACACGAATTTTCATGTAATTTCAAGTATTTTCAATAATTTTATGGGAATTAAAATCTGTTATATAATATACATTTTTTATAAATTGTACTCTATTATATAATATTATTCCTAATAATATAATGTTATGAAATATATACTCAGGAAAGCTAGTGTATTACCAGGCAAACCCAGGCTGGATATCTACCCTTACTCTGCTGTACTAGCTTGACAGCAAAGCGACTATGTTGTAGTCGCAGCCTCGGCTAGACAAGTGTAGTGTAAAGACGCACAATTTATTTGGAAAAGAGGGGAGTCGAACCCCTAAGAGTTGCCTCGAACAATTAGCAATTGTATTAACTTACCAATGTAAACATTTCCTTCTCCCGGTCTGGCCTGGCAAAGCTTGACCTGCTACTAAGGGTTCTTGCGCAGCTGCAGCCTCGCCTCTACCCTTTTTCTCCTCAACCCGGCATCCCTTTCGCTACAGCCAAGACGAGACCAAGGCCGAAGGCACAGCACCCTACCTTCCGCCCTTGCGAAGCAGCCGCCTTGGCGCGGCGAGGGCTAGGACTCTTGTGCTAAAGCTGGGATATTTCTCCCCCGCCCAATTAAGCCAAAGCTTAGGGTAGGCTAGGAGGCGGACGGGAGCAAGAGAACATCTTATATTTTTTAAGCTTCTGTCTACCGTACCTCCCTCCCTCGCTATGCGCATGCCGCTCAACCGTGCCTGGAAACCCGCTCCCCCTTTTTCTGCCGCTGCGCGATAACTCCGCAAAACAACAGCCAGCCAAAGGCTAGTGGTGGGCAGGCGGTCGCTGGAGGGAGGGCTAGGATTCTTAAGGTAGCGGAACCGTTATCTTCGCAACTTCTTTGCGATGGTTGCTGGAGTACCTGGCAAAGCGGGGAAATTTTGCTTTGCTTGGCTCCCGCCCCCCCTTGCCTGTCCTACTCACCCTTAGCTACCGCCAAGGCGAGAACAGGGTAGATAGGGCGCTGCTTCGCTCGCCCGCCCTCCCAAAGGTCTGCAGCTACCGCTTCGCGAAAGAGGCTGGAGGGGAGGGTAAGGGAGGGGGGTAGGATACAGCTTAGCTAGGTAAATCTGTATGGTACAGCTTCGCTCGGCTAAGCGTTTGCGGTAAGCGAAGATACGGTAAGGTGTGTAAGGTATAAACATTTTAAGTGAAAGCTATGCCTTGCGCCAATAATGTGCTAGGTATTCTTGCAAGGCCGAAGGCACAGTACCCTCAAATAAGGAACATCTTTTTTGTTTTTTGATCTTTATCAGGTTCGAACTAATGCTAGCTACTTGAAGGGTAGCTGTACAACCACTATACTAAAAGACCTCAATATTATTAGACTGCCGCTATCGGCCCGCCCTATCCTGCCCTTTTTCAGCCGCCGCATCAGCCATCCTACCCTACCGCCCCCCCTTGCTGCAGGCTTTGCCCAGTGTTACCCTAGCAAGAGGCGAGCGAAGCAGCTCTCTTGCTCGCGCCCGTCCCCCCCCCTCCCGACTCGCCTGCCTCCCGCTTCCTTGAAATTCTCCCTCGCGCCAAGGCGAGGCAAAGCCTGCCTACGCCTGCCTACGCCTGCCTACGCCGATCGGCAGGCTAGGCAGGCTAGGCAGGCTAGGCAGGCTAGGCAGGCTAGGCAGGCTAGCGGTGGGGTGTTGGCAAAGCCAGGAGAGAGCAGGGTTAGCCCATACTTTGTCTAGCCAAAGGCAGTAGCAGGCTTTGCCTAGCCCAAGGCAGGGCGGGGGGCTGTTCCGCTCGCCCGCCCCAGCCTCCCTCGCGCCTCGCCTACGCCGCGCCGATAGGCAGGCAGCGAAGCAGTCGCCCCGCCATGGCGAGGCGGCTGGTTCGCAAGGGGCGGGGCGAGGCTATGCCTGCCTCACCATGGCGGTAGGCTAGCGGTGGGTAGGCTAGGGCTGGGGTGGCTAGGGCTAGCTATGGTAGGCTAGGGATGTAGGCAGTTTGTGGGGTGGCTAGGTTTGTCAGCTGCTCAATAAGCTAGTACTCTAAATAGGCAAAGCCGGCATGGTGCTTAAAAAAAGTTCTAGTTGTGCAACAGGCCTTGCAGTGTAATGGCACGTATGAAATTAGTGGGGGTTGTGTGTTTTTTATTATTATCCAGCGGCACTTTCCAGTACAGCTACCATGCTATGACTTTTGAAATGTTACATAAATAACTTGACTAAAGTCAATAAGCTTATCAAAGGTGTTTTTTTTTTCTAATTGAATAGTTTCACCTAGCCTACGCAGCTCCGGGTCCCGTACTCATCCAACTTTAGGAAGGATGCGGTAGCAAGAGTAGCGAGGGAAAGGAAAAAAGATCTTAAAACTAACAAATATTTGTTTTTTATTTTTTAAATATGCTACAGCCGCCAACCCTCCCCGGCGCTCCCGAGGCTTGACTCTCAGCCCCGCCCCGGAAACCCGGGGCTAGGGTAGCACAGACTAAAGCAAGGGGATTCGTTATGCAAGTAAATCTGCAACACAAAACAAATCTTTATTATCCCTCTGAAAAAAAGTCATATTTACCTCCAGTTTCCGTCATTCTAAGCTTCTTCCCAGCGACAGACAGTTAGTTCATCCCGAAAATCTTGTCTTCACCGTTGCGCTAGTTATCAACGATTACTCGAAATTCCATCTTCATGCCACCGAATTTCAGATGACAATTGGTTTTAATTTAATATAGTCACTTTCTTTAATGATTAGCTCCACCTTTATATCCATATTTACCTTAACCTGGTCCTAGCCTCACTCAAAGGGTAAGCTAAGACAAGCTCAAAATAAATAATTAACCCAAGTATACGGCAAAAAATAAATCTCCTACCGGAGCCCTCCTGCCCTCCCCAGCCCAGCCTCCCTTGCTCGCGCCAAGACGAGGCAAAGCCTGCCTATCGGCGTAGCTAGGTGTGGCTAGGGTAGAGGTGGGTAGGGCTAGCTTTGCTTGAATTAATACAGGCGAGGTATTGCATCACTTTGTAAAAGTTATTGTGGCACGTCTATAGCCCAGTACATAAGGGTCATAACGACTTGTCTTAGCCCCACCGGCTCCCTTATCGGGAACTATATTTGTTAAGTATAAATTAACAACAGGGATTTCGTCCGTTATCGGAATAAACCAGACTTCTGACAACACGGACTTGCGACAGCCATGCAACACCTGTAATCAAGTATTATCTACTCTCCTCTTAATTTTACCTCTATTTAAGGATACCTTTGCAGAAACCCGAAAATAAAAATAAAATCTAAAGTTTTATGCAAGAACTGGTAAGGTTTTACGCGTATTATCGTATTAAATAACATGCTCCACTTCGTTTGCTTCGAGACCGACTAATTTTTTTGTTTTCAACTTTGCAGTCGTAGTTACAAGGCGGAATGGTAATCGCGTTAGCATTGTCACTAAAAAAGAATTTTATTAGTGACGACCATTCATCGTTCGCGGAGAAGGGGTACTGGGGTATCTAATCCTGTTTCCTATCCAACCCTTCGTTCCTCAGCGTCAATCATTAGCGAATAAAAGCTTACGCCCTTAGAATTCCACTTAGTATCTGAGGATTCAAACCCTACTCTAAGCATTCTCTAATACATCCTATTTTTGATTCTAGCATTCAATTGAAGCAGCCTACTTACCCTTTACGCCTGTTTATTACGATTAACGTTTGCGTTCCTGGTCTGACCGAGTCTTCTGGCACCAGTTTTGGACAACACTATTAGTAGGGTAGTATCATTATTTTCCCCTACGACATCTCATTTTTTACATTTAAAAAAAATGTTTGATTTCAGTTAGCTAGTTCACTCTTTCGAGCATTGACTAAGATTCTCGACTGCTGGTAGTTTTTGTAAACTACTTAGGAGATTTCATTCCCAATGTGGCCATAGACTCTCTCAAGCTTAGCTATCGATCGTTGGCTTGGTTAGGCCGTTACCCTACCAACTACCTAATCGAAATAAATAGAATCCTTTAGCGGATAAATTTCCTTTACCTTATCCCCTATTTACGAGGACTAAAGGGCATCTTATTTACCTGTACTCACCTCTACACCTTATTTCCTTTTTTAAAAAAATTGGAAACAATGATTTGCATGTCTAAAACTACTGAATAACGTTCAATCTGAACCAAAATTAAATTCTCACTTTTTTTAAACAAAAAAAACAAATATTTACCGCAGTTGCTGGGACTATTAGTTGAGCACGCGGGAAGGCTTTGCACTTATTCCCCTGCACAATGCTTAGCTTGAGGAGGGTATATAGAGTAACTTTGCGCTTCGTATGTACAGGCATAGTTATTTATTAAATATAATAATACTTACCCTTTTTTTGTCGTTTTGTATTTGCCTTTAAGCAATTTCTACTATCTCTTTTATATTAAAATTTTTTTATGCTGATTTTTTTGTTTTATGTTAATTATTTTTTTGGGGTTTGCCCCCCTACACGACACTGCCCAAAATAGTTTAAACCAACGCCCACCCCCTGCCCTACCCAGACAAAAGGTAGGCAGCAGTCGTAATTACGAGAGTGGGGGTTATATACTTAATTTTATTATTATTATTATTACAAGGGCAAAGCCGTACGATGGTGCGGCCAGGCAAAGCCTGGCCAGAATTAAAAAACAAAAACAAACCAAAATCTTTTAGGGCTTCTCGCGCAGCGGCAGAAGCAGCTAGCGAAGGTGCCGGACAAAGCAAGCTACCGCTACGCGGTTAAGTTACGGCTGCTTAAGAGTAAAGAGCAACAGCTGCGCTCCCCTGCCAACCCTCACTCCCTTGCGAAGCAGCCGCCTTGCTGCAGGCTTTGCCCAGGCTTTGCCCAGGCTTTGCCCAGGCTTTGCCCAGGCTTTGCCTAGCAAGAGGCGAGCAAGGCCGCGGCGCGGGGCGGCGCGGCGCGGCGTCGCGGTGGGTAGGCTAGATGTGGGTAGGCGTGGGTAGGCTAGGTAGGTAGATTCCAAGGCTGAAGAGGCGAAGCCAGAGACGAAAGCTAGGGCAACCAAAGGCTAGGGGGAGGCAAAGCGAGGGGTAGGGCTAGGCAAAGCAGGTAATCCCTAGCGAGTCGAGCGTAGCAGCAGAGGTACTAAGGGGAACTCCCGACAAAGTCTAGCAAGAGTGGAGGGCTATTAGTATAATAATGTTGATACAGATAAATGTAGAGAATCTAATACAACATTGGCTAAGACTCCTAAAACAACAGTAGGTATTAGTAAAGAAAGGAATAAATGATATTCTCGTCTAGTAGCATCTTTAACTGGAGCTAAGTGAGGTGAATATACACCATATGATAATCTGTTATATAAATAAATACTATAAATAGCACTAGATACAATACCTGTAGCACCTAAAGTGGCTATAACTGGAGATCTTTCCCATATCCCAATTAAAGCTAAGTTTTCACCTAAGAAATTAAGTGTTAAAGGGATACCCGTATTAGCAAGTGTAAATACAAAGAAACATACAGTGAAAACAGGTAAATAAGTTACTAAACCTCTAATATATGGTATTTGTCTACTATGGAATCTATCATATATCACACCACCCACACAAATGAATAGAGCAGGAGATACGAAACCATGAGCTACTGATAATAATATTGATCCTTCGATACCTTGAATTGTATTAGAGAATATACCTAAAGTTAATACAGCCATATGGCAAATACTACTATATGCAATTAGCTCTTTAGTATCATCTTGAATAATAGTAGTTAGTGAAGCATAAATTAAAGTGATTATAGCTATAGTTAGTACTAGTGGACTAAAGTAATTAGTAGCATCGGGTAAAAAGTTAATTAATACCCGTTTCATTCCATAACTTGCAAATTTTAATATTGTACCAGCTAATAAAATAGATGCTGCTAATGGGGCATCACTGTGTGCTTTAGGTAACCAAAGGTGAACAGGGAATAGTGGAGTTTTAACAGCAAATGCTAAGAAGAAAGCCAACCATAATATTTTCTGACTATCTAAGCTAATTTCTGATAATGAAATTAAAGTAAAATCAGTGGAACCAAGGTTACTGTATATTTTTAGTATAGCTAATAACATAAATAAAGAACCTGCTAAAGTATATAAAAAGAATAATAAAGCTGATCTTTCTTTATTGGGACCTGAACCATATACATTTATTATGATAAACAATACTGGTAGAACACTTTCAAAAAAGATATAAAACATAAATAGATCTAAAACTACGAAAACTGCTATTTGTAATGTTTCTAACATTAAGAAAGAAACATAAAAAAATTTTACCGGTTTCTGACCTAAATTTTTATAACTAGATAGTAGAGCGATAGGAGTTATGAAGGTTGTAAGTAAAACATAGTAAATAGAAAGACCATCAACCCCAATATTAAAATGACAGAAACTTAATTTAGAAAATTCAGATACGAACTGGTAATCACTTGTATTTGAATCAAAATAAATCCATAAAATAATAGAAATGAATAAATTAATCACAGATGTTACAATAGCTAAATTTTTAATTTTAGTTTTTTGTTCTATTGAGTTTTCAGGAATTAATAGTAATAATAAAGAACCTATAATAGGTACTATTAATAATAATTGTAACATGTTAAATTACCGTGAATAGTTTTTTTATCTAATAAAATTAAAACTTTTACTAGATCTTGAATTCTGAACTTAAAGGTTAAATTGACTTGCGGTATCGGGAAAAGAGCTACAGCTAGATGGTTTGCAGCTACTAGCCGCAAGACGCGTAAGGTAAACATGGTTATACTTTACTCGCTACCCTTCCGTTTTACATTCTTCCAAGGCCGAAGGCACCGCACCGGGAGCAGCGGAGTAGCTCACCCCGCCCCTTACCCTTTACCATTTACCCTTGCCGCCTGCCGGCCCAGCCCACCCATACCATAGCCTACCCACCCCTAGCCTTTGGCCAGGGTGGGAGCTGCTTCGCTCGCCTCGCCATGGCGGGGCGGGGGGAGGGAGGGCTGCTGCCTTGCAAGAGCTGCTTCGCTCGCCAGCCCCTGTTTTGCTAGAGCAGGGTTTGCCTAGGCTTACCCTAGCCTCCCTACCGTCCAGTCTTTGCTGCTTCTCCCCCCTACCCACCGCTAGCCCTCTTGAAGGGCTAGCGGTGGGTAGGCTAGAGGTGGCTAGGCTAGGGGTGGCTAGGCTAGGGGTAGGATGGAGAGGGGAGGGAACGGAGGGAGCAGACCTATAGGCCTGCACCCCCCCTCAGCTATCGGGGGTGCAGAGCAGCCAATATCGCTCCTTTTGTGGTAGCGGGTACTAGACTAGGTACGAGACTAGAGGAGGTAAAATAGAGGGAGCAATTTAACTGAAACATAACAATATCGCGGCCTAGCTACCGCTCTGCTTGAAGAGCAAGTGCTCTCCTAGCCTACCTACCGTTACGCCTACCGCCCCGCCATGCTGCTTTGCCTGCCTACGCCTGCCAACGCCGATTGGCAGGCTAGGCAGGCGGAGGCGGGGCGAGCGAAGCAGCCGCCAAGGCGAGGCGCGAGGGAGAAACTTCTCCCCTGCCCCGCTAGCCCTCGCTACCGCCTCGCCTCCCTTACCCTTAGGATAGGGGGCGGCGGTAGCGAGGGTAGCCAAAGGTTAGGGGTGGGCAGGGCAGGGGTGAGGTGGCTAGAGTAGGGGTGGCTAGGGCAGAGCCGGAGGAGCTGGGCAATTTGTTAAGTTATAATAATTAGGCACTAGACCCTTTTTAAATAAAAAATAGCCGAAAAAAGGAATCGAACCTTTATTTTACCGTCATGAGTGGTAAGTTTTAACCATTTAAACTATTTTAGCCCTTATCTGCTGCGACACCTTTTACTTGCTGGCTTATCTATGCGCAACCGCCTCCCCCTAGCTACCTTATTATGCCTCTGCGCGATGAGCCGGTAGGCAGTAGCGGTTGCGAAAAAAGCAAGGGAGCGCTAGAGGACTATTAAGAGGCGGTAGAAAAACTACAATAAGATTTGCTGTCCTCTTCCCGCTACCGCCCCGCCAGCCCTTTAGGAGCTGCTTCGCTTCCGCCTACCGCCCCGCCATGGCGAGGCGAGCGATAGATTCCAAGGCAAGAGGGCGAGGCGAGATAGCAAGGTTTGTCAGACCCTAGGGTAAAGGGTGGTAGCCGAGGAACCCCCTCCGCCGCGCCGCGCCGATAGGCAGGCAGGCAGCGCAGCATTCGTCCGCCCATCCTCACCCCCTCCTGGTTTTGCCAACTCCCCCGCCCCAGCCAAAGGCTAGGGGTGGGTAGGCTAGGGCTAGCGGTGGGTAAGCTAGGCTAGGGGTGGGTAGGGGTGGGCAGGGGGAGAGGTACCTCTCCCGCACCGCTACCGCCCCGCCATGGCTAGGCGAGCGATAGATTCCAAGGCGAGGCTATGCCCTCCCTAGCCTCCCCAGCCAAAGGCTAGGGGTGGCAAGAGCTAGCTAGGGTAGGGTAGGGGGAATAGAATTCATGGACTATTAAAGACTCTAATCTGTAGCCAACTTTGCGTGGCCGTTAAAGTGGCGAAGCTATACGCGGCTGTACAGCCGCGTATAGCTTACCACCTTACTGGATTCGAACCAATAATTGCCCGTTTCGAAATCAAGCGTCGTAGCCTTTACGGAAGGTGACGTATAAAAATTTCATCATGAGGGGTGAAACCATATACTAACCATCATTGTAAACATCTAGGGCTAAAGGTTCTAAGGTTTTGGATTAAATGATTCTACAGGGATTAAGTTTTTTTTTGGTTATTGCTTTGACTTGCGAAGCAGCACCACTCCCGCTTTACCTTTAAGAGTACCCCCCCCCCCCCCCCCC